TGATATAGATGATAAGCTCTTATAATAGCTATTTTATAACTATTTACTATTATGAATGAAAGATTAAGAAAAATCAAAATAGACTGAATTAAGTATAAGTAAGAATGATTAAAATCATTTTTTGCAGTTAATGATTTAATTACTTACAATTTATGGAAACAAAAAGAGACGACAATTATAATCACTAAAGAGGACTGCAGCTCATGTCACGAATCTTCACTGCATGAAATAATAAACATAATTAGATTAATTAATCAGTATAAAGTATATGAAAACAGTTTTTGAATATTTTTTGGAAAAGTATAAAAACTAATAAAAAGGTTTTTAGCATCGAATTTTAATTTTTTGACAGAAAATGTAATTAGATTAAATTGGATAATTAAAAAGAATTGCTATATTTTGATCACTTCGAGTTGGAATAAATAATATTAAGTAATAAGTATTGTTCAGTCAATTTATTTAAGTAATAATAAATGAAAGAATTTAAATAATTAAATACTAAAAAAAAATTAAATTCATTCATTATTCTATACAAAATCACTATTATCAATGTTCATTCTTGATCTATCCTTTACTGATTTCTCTTTGCAGTAATCAAATTTACGTTTGATAATTACACGCATATTAGCATAATAAAATTAAATTAAACGTATAAAGTGAAAGTTTACAAATAAAAAATGTTACATGCAAAAAGAAAGATTAGACAAGCTCGTTATAACTCGTAATTCAATTTTATGAAAGGAACCAAATCAAAATTAGCATACTGCCGCTTAATGAGGCAAAACATCATTTAGACAAATATTCCAAAAAAAAGGAAAAAAATTGAAAAGTAAGTATATTTTGTGGTATTCTCATCCGCTAACGTCTACGTCAATTATTTTTAGACTTTTTGGGTGAAAGATTTCTGCAGTATTTGTGCATATTTTCTTTATTTATTACTTTGTTTAAATATCTTTTAAACGAAGATTAGTCACGCAGTGGCCTGGAATTACTTAAGCGTAAGTCTTTAATCACTTATTAATTCTCAAAATGGATAAATATGTGCTCAAGTATTGAGCAATAATAATAACCTTTGTCATATCACTTGTGAGTGATAATAAATTTTTATTTAAATTTGGATATCTCAAATTTTAGAATTTTTGTAATATTTCTACAAATTAATCAGTACTTCTTATTTGCATTATTATATTCATTCTTTAAGTATTATTAACTTTAAGCAAAAAAAAGTATTTGTTTTAAATTTAGAAATATTGCCCACATTTTTTATCTAATTAATTTAATAGAAATTAATTGATTAAAAATAAAACTTTTGCTTAATAATCAAATTTAAAATACTTTTTTAATTCTTTTGTAAACGATTTTATTAGAAACTAAAAATTTTTCAGCCATTTTTTAGTAATTTTCTTTAGGAATTATATTTGTAAAAGCTAAATTTTGTAATATAAATAAATTTAATGAGTTTTCAATAATTTATACAAATATACGGATAAAAATCAAACCAAAAATTATTATATAAATCAAATTTTTTATCCATTTCTTGAAATAAGATTCAACATCCAAAATTAGTTTACAGAAATTTTTATGCCAATGAAAAGCAAATTTAAACATAATTAATTAAGCATAATTAATTATATCCAAAAATTAAGTAAATTAGGTATTTTGTATCTTTACAAAATATTTTTTATAAATACAAAATACTTAATTTACTTAATTCAGGCTATTTTGAAAATATAAAGAAATAAATTTATTTAAGTTTGCTTTAAGTATGTAAAATGGCGTAAAAAATTACCAAAATACTTATACAAATTACAAAAAGAGAACGAAGGTCATTGACGGTTGATTACCTTGAAAAAGTTGTAAAATATATTCACATAAAACATAACATTCAAAATGTTTCAATACAATAGAAATAAAAAAAGCACAGTGTTAAATGAAGCTGAATAAATATGAAATAGTTCCGTGAAGGCGAAATTATTAAACGTAAGTGAAAATCAACGATAGGAATATTCTTAATTCATATCTGACTAAAATCAAATCAAATTTAACAATTTAAAAAAAAAATCATGTCTAAATAATTTTACACCTTTTTTCTTTCATGTGCGAGATTATAATATTTATATATATATATGTATATTATCTACAGTAACTCTAACAACTGCGATTACTTCTGCTCGTACGTGAAATAAGCGTACAAGAAACTATTATTAAATTGAAGAAAAACTTGTACAAGAAAAATTTTTTTAAAATCAAAAAACTTCATTTGTATTATTACTGTACAATTTTGCTATAACTGCAAAAAATTCCAGTCATAATATAAAAGTGAATAGATCTAAAGAAGAAAAAATTTTTATTTTTCACTCATAAAGTGAAAAATAACGCACCTGCATTATATACAATGATTAACAATAACAATATAAATCATAATAGTAATAATCATAATAATAATATTCATAATGATAACAACCAATAATAATGGTAACGACAATAGTAATATTATTAGTATGAATGAAAAGTAAGTTCGTTGCAATAGATAAACCGAAAAATCGCGAGTGGAGGTTATTCCGCTTCAATAAAGGTCAGGTCGTTGCGTTGCCTAAAATTACGATTACATTTGATCGCAGCAATAAAAAATGATTGCAAACGATGTCTTTGCAAATAAATATTTCGTTGCGTAATTTATGTCTGAGATAAAAATAAGTAAATATAATAAATTTTTTAATATTTCTTTTTACGTAGCGCATAGATGAAGTATTTTTCTGCTCGGATATTATTTATTTGTCTGACCAATCGATCAACTAGTTAACCAATCCCTTTATTATATCCATTCAAGTCATAATTCACTCAAGAGGCAAAAAATAAAAGGGAAATGACCTTAGGTCACAATGTCCTTGTAATCTTCTGCACAGGGTCACATTTATGTTTAAATTTCCGCATTTTTCAAATCAAATTAATTACGTGTAAATATAAATGATTTGCTCGTTAATTCAAAAAAAAAAAAAAAAAAAAAA